TTGAGTGAATATTTTGTATCTTACATTTTTTGAAAAAACTAAAATGAAATTTTTCATAATATTTGTATGTTTTTCTCTCATAGAGCTTCTTTTCTTGTCAGATTTATCGTAGTTTACACCATTAACTATTCGTTGATTACATGAAAAAAAAAATTGTTTCAACTAGAGTTTTGCCTTGTGTGAAGATTTGCTTTCCTTGAATTATTTCGAAGAAGAGAAATGAACAAATGAGTTGACATTACAAAAGTCAATGTATTATGAGCATAAAGAAAAAACCAAAGAATTTCAATAAAAAGTTCATTTTCATAGAAGTAGAAGCTAAATGAGTATAAAAAAGGAATAATGAGGTTCTACAAACATTGTAATAATATATAGTTATTAAAGCAGTTTTAGCTTCAACAAAACTTGTTAAATGAGATCTAAACGTTGCTTGCCATTACTAGTAGCTTTTAAATACATACTGCTACCAGCTGTCATGTCAAAATACAAGATACAGAAAATTTTAACCGCTACAGACATTATTGACTTATCTTTGACCAGATTTTGGTATTCCCTTAACCTATACTAAGATGAGTCTTTCATAAATAAAAATCATTCATTCAAGATGTATATATTTTGGTCAACAAGTTTAACATTGCTGTTTATTTAAATCAGATTTATTGTGAAGAACAGGTGTGTATTTTTCAGTACAAACATGTGTTAAATCAGTCTGCTATAAGAAATGCACGCTGAGTCATCAATCATTAGCTGATTAATTAATTATTTTTACTCATCATTATTAACAAGTAACGTTCGTCGGTTCGACTCACTTGACCCTCAAATGTATCAGACAGAAGTATACAAGTCTCATCCATGGACACCCAGTTATGAAACAGCTGATTAAGGAAGAACTTATCACAGATGTCGGATTGACTGAATTTTCATTCTGAAAAATTGAATTGCTTGAAAATTCAATATTAAAAGCACGAGAATCGAATACTTAGCCAACGTTTTTTTCATGATGTTTCACCGTCCACTATGACAAAAACTTATTTTATTTCATATAATCGTTCCTACACTCGAGAAAAAATTTATTTTCTCAAAAAAAACCTTTTCTCCTGAACTCAAAAAAATTCAATTCAAAATTTCGAGAAACTGACCTCAGATTCGGATTCTCCGACCCCGATTTACTTTCGTCAACCTTTATAAAATATCATTATTTTCTCAAAAAACCCTTTTCTTGACCCTAAAAACCCAATTCAAAATTTTGAGAAACTGATTTCAGATTCGGATTCCCCAACCCCGATTTACTTTCGTCAATCTTTATGAAAAATTTTCTAAAGTGGAAGTTTTTTTTGACCCCGATGCAGACACACACACAAACTCTTTTTTTTTGCATATGACCCTCCCTACAGTCGAGGGAATATATATAAGGTAAATTATTGGCTTTTTGAATTTAAGTACCCTTGAATTCCTAACCTTCACTCCAAAAATTGTCTACAAATGTATCTTTCATTGTGTCTTCATACGTTAAAATATATTAACAAAATTTTGTTATGTAATACATAAGACGAAAATCGTATACATACATGCTCTCGTATCTGATTATCTGCACGTGTATCGTTAATGTAAGAGAGCTGATCAATGTATATTTCATTTTTTCTCTTCATACATGAACTGAAGTAATCATTCATGATGTACGATGCAAAGAAAGGATTGTATACAAGCTCTTTCAGCTGATTGGTTGTTTCGTTTTATCCTTGTGACGCAAAAACGATTTATGCAACAGTGATCACCCGTCTAAAAAGGATAATAAACGTATTTTTCTTCGCATTGTATTCAGTTTATTTTCTTTCGTTTGAATACACAGCTATTGCATTTATCGTTCTGTTTCGAATTTCATCATCCTTGGGCATTGTTCAACGGTAAGTAAGGATTTACTGTTTGTATTTAGTCTATGCAATTGTATATGACATATATTCATACTAAAAGTCGTTGCCTTGATGAATAGCGTGATTCCAGACTCTGTTCTATTTTCGTACTCTCGAGTAGGCGAGCAGATCGGCAGCTTACGAGCGATCGAGATCATGAAAGGTGTCTCCTCTTGGTTGAAACTTTTTTGCACCATTTATTTTCGTGATTTGAATCTTGTGTTATATTTTTATAGATACGTGTTATGTAGCAACATACTATGGGTTCTTACTTTAAGTGTCAGTTCATGTAACATAATCGACTACCAGTTTACCTTAGATGTTTTTTGTCTTTAACTATATCCTTTTTATAGATGTGATGACACGAAAGGAAGAAATTTTTCTTCTGATATCGTGTAAACACGAGTAGATACAGTAGTTTATAGTTGCTAAGGGTCCCAAAATAACATTCAACATAGTTGAAATTGATGCGATTGAACCAGGTCATGTTTTCCAATTATAATATAACGCAGGTTAAACAAAAACTTAGAATCGAGCTCAGTAGTTACACTAAAATCTAAAAAGTATAGAAACAATTAGAGGCGAAGCTACCATTCCTGATGCTATTTTGGCGAAAGCATGACAAAGAATATAGCCAGTTTCGCTTGTCGAAGATCGGTATGAGCAGCAGTCCGAGTAGATCAGACCTGGCTGAACCTGATGCACTATTATCAATCGTGTGATTAGGCAACTACCAGCCAGATGTGGGTGTAAGAAGTGAGGTTATAGGAGTACATGAGCGTGTCTATATGTTTCGTATACTCACAACCACACACATTCAATAGTAAAAATGTTAGAAGGTAGCATCCGCATTACTATAGTTATTTAATCTATTGATATGAAAATTGATAAATTTCGAACTCATTGATTTCTACTTCTATAAACCTAATGTTCCTCAACTGGTGATTTTTTTTAAACCAATGAAAATTTTAAAGCATCATAGAAATCTCTTGTATTAACCGTGACTGAATAATGAAGTAAAAATTCACAGAAAACTATTTTATGGAGAAAGAAGCAAGAATTACGACCTCGTGATCACAAAGAATTATCTTACAAACGATTCAAGGTGATAGAAATATTTAATACGTATGGTTTACATATTTGTTGTCTGCTTAAAAGACTATTTGAGAAAAGATCAATTTTGTTCATTCCTTTACCACTTTATAGCCATTTCGCAGTTATTAAAATATGTTTGGTATATAGAAACACTTAAAACCATATGTAAAGAAGAAAAAACCAGAAATGAACAAACTGAAGTATTGTTTTAGATCAGCGAGCATTCTCTTAAGAAAGTGTGTATTGAGTACCGGTGCTCAGTACAAACCGACTTAAATAAATGTACTGAAGGACCAGATGCAATTGCGTACGCAAATTACCAAGTACTGGACTAAGTATCAAATGTTTGCTGAGGATAATTCGAACAAGTCTGCGAAATCTTAGTCAAGTTCGGTAGTTTTTTGTGAAATATCAAAGTTTCTACCTCTGGACACAGCTTCAGTAAGGAATTTATTTTTTCCTCTCTGTTTGATGTCTCTACCTACGAAAAGATAGACCATGTAAACGTTATCTCAAAGTTCAACATAGCTTTTCTTTATGATCTCGGCTAGTCTTTAGTTATGCTCACATAGATGTTCATATTTCAGAGAAAAACTAGATTTTCATCTGATATGCCATGTAATTTTGCATTGATTCATGTATGCTTTCGCCTTCAACAATTTAGAACTCAGATCTTCTGAAGAATCTTCGCAGTACTATTTCAGAGTATGTAAAAACCTCGGTAGTTTTTGCCTGTTGACCAATGTCAGTCGTCCATCGAAAACGTATAATCTCATAAATCCATAGACAATAAAATTCTTTGTAGGTTGCTGAATGCTTTCTTCTTAGGCAAACGAAGGACGAAACGCTGCGAAGGATCTTCGAAGTCATATTTCAGTTTTCCTATAATTTTGGTCAGCTTTTACCTATACTGGACATCTACAATCTTTCGTCGAGGAAAACGAAATCATCAATGACTGATCGAGCTTGTGAGTGTGAATGTGGATATGGATGTGGAATGTGAAAACAGGTGTAGATGTCTGCGTATGGCTGTGGGTACTCACATTCCCATTCCCACTAAATTCGAGTTTGAAAGTAAAGATGGAGTTAAAAGGAAAAAATGGCTTATAAAAACTAATAGAACATGAAATTCTCTGTGAAATAGGCTACTTTTTTCCATTTTATCGCAAATCTCATGGTTAGGAAAAATGAAAAATATTGGAAAGCAGTTAAATCTATTTTTGCATGGAAAAATCATATTAATCATGGAAAATCTATATAGATATACAGAGTCTCTTGTATTCTGGTGCATCATGTAGTTCGCGTTTCGTATTATCTATACCATAATTTCTATCAGGATCGTACCCTTGAGTAATATGCAAGAAAATCTGAAACGAATGTAAGAAAAAATTGAAAAATATAAAATCGCTAAAACTTTTATTGCCAACTGTACTCTAGATCTTCAATAACCGATTAGCTCATATATTCTAATGGAATGTTAGTGATATATCGTCTGTGATACTTTACGAAGGCCGTCAGTCACAGTCTGTGACAGAAGAGAGGAAACGCAAAAATCTACCCTGTATACATCACTGCTCATTTTAGGTGGTGTTTCACAAAAGAATAATGACAAAAGTGTTCAAGGAATATGCTATCAAAGATTTAAAATTGCCCTTATCTTGTGGATATAAAGAGTTTATCAAAAAAACATTATTGGATGTTGCTGATATACAAATATTACTAGCACAAGCTCAAATCTCTGTTAATATTCAATTTTCTTTATCGAACATAAGTAAGACACAAATATCGCTCAATAAAGAAAATAGAATTAATCTTTGGGAGTTATCTCAACAGATCTGTTTTCTTATTACTCATTTTCCATATTCAACGCTACAGATTTTAGCAGGAATCATTGTCAAATATTTGTTTAAATTTTTCACTATCAATAGTGTGCATCACTCGTTTCTATCAATCAATGACATTCATATAGAATTACAAATTGTTTCACCAAACGATATGTTACGCATGAGTTCATTCACAAGTTCTGTCAATGTAATATACTCTTCTGATGAATCTCCTTTGAAACAAGAAAATAATAGCTGGGGTCACGTAGACATTATAGATGAAATTTCTGAATTAACCAATAATGGCATTAGTGTTGGATTATATGTACTACATATTAAACCCGGTCATTCCATACCATTACATATTCACAATATTATGACTGAGTCAGAAATGGTCATCAGTCATAATCTAATTTGTCAAAAAAAGTCCGTTTCGTATGGCTGTGCACATACATGGTATTCAGCACCGCATGAGTATTCAAATCCAAATCGGTTTCCACAATCTATTTTATGCATTGATTCACCTGCCTTCATTCCAACAGATGAAATTTTAGTGGAAGGGAAACCAGCAACAAATATCAGCATGGTTTCAATGAAACATTATTTATTTGATGCAAAATCTACATTTTGTTTTCCAGGACTCTTTTCATCTCAACAACAAATAGTATTAACAATTAATCCATCAGAATTTCACTCAAATTCATCTGCAGTTCTGGTCTTCGCCTTTAACTTAAATGATGAATTATTGTTTGTACACCACAAAAAACGAGGATGGGAATTACCGGGTGGTAAAATTGAAATAAGTGAAAATGAAATACAAGCTTGTATTCGAGAAACATTTGAAGAAAGTTATTGTGAATTAGAGGAAAGTTCTTTACAGCCTATTGCTCAATATAAAATCATCGATAACGATAATATTGGTGATGTTCATATTAAATCTGTCTATGCTGCACGAGTTAAATTAGAATATCAAGACTGCCCTTTTGACCATGAAACGAAACAGCGAAAATTCGTTTCACCGCTCGATTGGTTGACAATTTTAAATGAAAGTTATAGTATATTATTACACGATGATGTTTACCCAATATGTTTAGAAATTACTAAACATAAACTAAACATCAGTACTACTAATTAATTCAATAATAATTGACTAATGATAATATATCCATAGATGGCTGCTAACGTCATTTAGTCGATTTCATACCTTTTAGAATTTATTTTTATTCTAAAAACTCAACCAAATTCGATCATTATTATGGTATGACTGATTTATATCTGGTATTCCTTTCTTACCTCTGTTCTGCTATTGTACTGATGACAAATACTATATATAGATATTCTTTTCTTTGTCGTCAAGTATTTTCCAAAGTGTCATCTCCTTTTGGCATTGTTAAGCTTTTCCCTTATCGTTTAGATTTTCTTTTTATCACATTTAGTATTTTTCCTAATGTGTTAATACATATATATACTAATTATTTTGGACAAATAAAGTCGTTTATTTATTTATCGATCAGTACGATTGAAACTCTTTCTAATAGTTATTAATGCAGCTTTTTCCTTACGTTCCAATAAAAAAACAATTACGATGGAAGGTTTTGAATTACATAACGCAGATATAATCGTAGGTTCACTCACATACTTTCACATCCACGCACATACCCGTAGCCGCTCCAACACCCATATCCACGTTCAAATCCACGTCTTCAATGAAATTCTTACACTTTATAATAGTTTTGATAAACTCTTGAAGGTTTTATCCCGACGTCATCTACCCTTGGAGAGTTTCTGAGCCGAAAGGCTTACTATTAAATGTATTCATCAGGAATATTTATTGTTCTTCGTATAAGGGTAGACTATTCTACGCTTACATCAGACGGATTGATTATTCCTAACACAAAGGTATACCATAGTCAGCTTTCATTCAAAGCATTTCCCATTCTACACTTACAGATAGATTCAAGGAAAGAAAAGTGGCTCCTGATGGATTCTAGGATCGATAGATTCCGTCAGGATCCACAGAATCCACCAGGGGCTGTCAAGATCCACCAAGAGTCGAGAATTCAGTAGCCGCTTTTTCACCTTGTCGTTAACACTAGCGGTTAACGAGTCACTGAGCTGTTATATTCCCTCTACTTTTGCGCCGAGATGATTTCAGGTCAAATACATTCGAATCGTATGAAATTTTCACTATGAATTGGAACTATAGTGGAAAGCCTACAGGAAAATTTTTGGTCTTACACGATGAGTTTTCGGAATATATACGTCATTTGAGAGCAGAGATAGCTCATTTGGGTTCCCAAAATTCTTTCTAGGCCTTCATTTAACAGTCTCATTTTTATTTGTTTGAAAAAGCATGTACCAATACAACCCATTTTCGAGTCTTTTTTTTTGAATTCTTATATTTTTTGAGTAGCAAAAGGATCACAATATAATACTTTAAAAGTTCCAATAATGGCGAAAAGTTCTAATAATGGTGAAAAGTTCTAAATTTGTGGAGCTTCAGAATATCCAATTATTATCCCATTCTTTTTGAAATAACAATATATGAATTTTGAAAAATAGGGCTTCCACATGCGTTGTGCCGTTACATGTTATTTCAATCAAAAAGTTCAGCACATAAAATGTAAGCATAGAAAGAATTTAGGAAAACTAAATGAACTTTTTTTGATTCTTGTTTCATACGAGTCTCTCAAAAGCCGCACGGTTTAGAGTTAAAAATATCGGCATAGCGTCATCATGAAAATCTCAAATATATCCTAGAAACTTTATTCAATTTGAATTTAGCTAGTCGCATATTGGTTTTGGAAGAGAGTAGTCTTAATATTGAGCTTTAATAGCTTCTAGGGATACATAACTTACTTCAAGTTAAGAGCATATATAGTTCACAAGAGTCCAGTACTATTTCGTTTAATTTTTCTCGGTCAGAGAGTTATATTTGTAAACATAAAGATTTTTTAGGTAAAACTTGAATCGGAGTTTTTTTTAGATACAAGAAAGCGAATTTCTATGCAGTTTTTTATAGTTACCAAAATACGTTTCGTTGAACTCACCGTCTCAAATTTGTATACTGTTAGTCAATTTTTTATTGTAAAAGATGTTATTGTCACAAAATAGATCTTCTCTGATTAGAAAAACTGATTTTAATAGAAATACCTTCAAGAAAAACACATATTCAGTTAATTTTTAGCCAACCATATGTTGAGAGAAAAAGTTTAAACTTGATATTAGAGCTAAACTGACCCATTCACCGTTAATATTGATAAATTAAGTGATGTCAGTAGCCCAGTTTTGATTAATATTAACGATAAAGTGATTGACTAATTATTCATATAAATTTAATGTAAATGGCCCGTCGTTTACTAAGGATTTTGGCACAGATAAAGGGTGCATGGATATAAATGGACGAATAGATACATATTCATCGAGGTAGACTAAGACGAGATATTTAGTATAATATTGGATATATAGGGAGATAAATTTCAGGAGATAATTGTTTCTTTTCAACGAAAGCTTATTTTCACGAACTTTGGAAAAGATTTCGATTTCGTTCTGGTTGTAAAATTCGAAACCTTTTTCAAGTTTTGGGATGGAAGTTTTTTTTTTCAGTGTAGCCGTTTGATAATCGGCTTTTAGGCTATCAGAAAGCGTTTATGAAGTTTACGTACCCTCAAGAAATGTTGATGAAAGCGCAACCTATAGCGAATCCTTTAAG